TAAATCGCTCCCTTCTAGATTTTTGAAAGTATCTATTGATATTGCGTTAGAGGGGGGTGCGTTGTTGCCTATACCAGATGCTGTTTCAGATGCAATAGTGGTGGGAGACGCAATAGGAGCGTGTGTGGCATGGCCGACAAATCTCATTTTCATAGATGATGAGGTAGGTTGAACCTTTTAATATTCAAATGTTTTATGATCCATACATGAAAGTTATTCTTACATTTACATTTTCTTATTTACATGATGATCTTAGACTCCTACAAAATCCAAATCAAAAGATGATAGAATTATTGTGCGGGATACCGATTCAGCTGCATCAAAGAAACATGTACTACTACAGTTACATGATTATCTTATTATACATTAATTACTGAACTTATATATGACTTTTAGGTTCATGATGATCAGCAGTCGCAACAAGTCAACAAGGGTAAGATGCCTGAAACTTCCAAGGTGCCCAGAAAAGCATTTGTTCCTCGATTTAGGATGTGCCTTGAAACATATATGGGAACAACAGATGTGAATGAGGATGGCATCCGTCAAATACATATGGACGAAGGTATTTTCGGTTTTGAATATCCCGAAACAATTGCTAAGGAGGATTTTGACTAGGTTTTCAAACATTCTGAATTGGGCGTCGGTGTTATGCATTCCTATATCAGGTACTTTGATCCATTTTAATTAAATAATTGAACATTTTAAAATTTGCTCGTTTAACTGAATATTCTAATGTTGATTATGTTTTTTTAGGCTCTTGTATGACAAGTTGTTGGTCCCGAATGATTTGACTTCAATATTCGCATTCTTATCTGCTAGCTGTGTCAACTCACAAACAATAGACCAGACACCAGATGCAGTCAAAGAGTACACAGTGCAGAGATTTATGGGCGCGACTACGGAGAAGTTGTTCTTGTTGCCATATAATACTGGCCATGGGTTAGATTTTATTCTAAATTCATTTATTATAATTGTTCGATTTTTGCCTTTCTATATAACATTTCCGTCTAAACTGTTGTCTTATTTTATAGTGGACACTGGTTGTTGGTCGCGATTAATCCGAGGAAAGAAATAGTATATTATATAGATTCATTGGATGGCGATGCAACAAAATATGAAAATCTGAGGAACATGGTTGATACGTAAGTGATGAGATATACTGTTCTGAATAATTATATATCTTTATTTATTATGTGACATTGTTCTAAATATGCGTTTATATTATGTTAGAGTTATACAAATATTCAGAGCACAAAGAGATGCAACGGTGCCAAAAAGCAAGGCTAACAACATCAACTGGATCAGAGTGGAGGTATATTTTCCCATGTTTGACTGTTATAGTGGTTCTACTTGATAAAACTATTTAAACTATATATCCTGATAAATGTTCGTTTATTTTTTCCATTTACAGTGTCCTCGTCAGCGCAATGGGATTGACTGCAGATATTTTGTATTGCGCTTTATGAAGGAAATTATTCTTTCTGGTCAAGTAGAGGTTCCAATCATGGTATGGATCAATTCATAAGTTATATGATTTATTTTGATAATTATCCGATACTTCATCTGAGTAATTAGTTTTAAAATTAAATCTTGCATGTTCTGTTATATTATGTAGTATTTTGATGAATTCAAGTGCGCTACTTACTCGAAAGCAAGATTGGAAGAAATTAAAGAGGAATGGTGTCAATTTATTCTTGAGTTGAGAATTGTGTAAAGTTATCGGATTGGAAGAATTGTAATTATGTGTAAATTGACTGTATTTTTAATGTTGTAATTCTGAGGATCGGATTTTGTTGTAACATATTTAAGCAGGTTTATGTGTATTAAAATGATTATGGGCAAAGTGATGAGTTACAATGTATACTTAAAGGCCAAAGTTTTGAATTGTATATATAAGGCCAAAGTTTTGAATTGTATATATAAGGCCAAAGTTTTGAATTGTATATATAAGGCCAAAGTGTTGAAATAAAGGCCTGAATTATAAGCAGGTTTGTGTAATATAAGCAGGTTGTTGGTAAATATACAAAACAGCGTGATTATTTATAAAAAAAAAAATTTTAATCTGGGACATTAGACAGCGCTTTTACAAAAAAGCGCTGCTAAAGGTTACAAACATAGCACTACAAAAGCGCTGCTATAAGTTGGGAAGGGGGGGTCTAAGACAGCGCTTCTAAAAAGCGCTGCTAAAGAGGGGGCTATGACAGCGCTTTGTAAAACCGCTACTAAAGGTGGGGTCTAAGACAGCGCTTTGTGAAAGCGCTGCTAAAGGGGAGGGGGGTTGGGGGGAATAGGCAGCGCTTATAAAAGCGCTGCTATAGGGTGAAAAAAGCGTTGCTAAAAGCGTTGCTGAAGGGATCCTTTAGCAGCGCTTTTTCTTTAAAAAAAGCGCTGCCTTTACCTTTAGCAGCGCCACTTTTGGCAGCGTTTTTAAGCGCTGCTAAAGGTCTTTTTTGGCATAGTGACAATCGATGTTGTATATAGTCCTGAGTTTATTATAAATTATGTAGAATGCTTATTTCGCCAATGCTCAATATACATATAACCGTTCAATCTGCACTATAACATTATAATATGACAAATTAAGTTATATTAGAAGAATAAGTACACGTTCAATGCTTGACAAGGGTTCTTCAAATCCTTATCTGTATTTTGCTCTTTCACAGTAAGGACTTGGTTTAATAACCCTAGTTCTTCAACAACCCCTACCTTCAACTCTAATTCTTTTTGCAAAATATTATTTATTTTGCAAAAAAAATTAGAGGTGGAGAGAGGGGTGGTTGAAGATCTAGGATCACTAAATCAAGTTCTAACGGTCAAGGAACAACATGCAGTTAATAGTGTGAAAAGTTACTATCAAGAATTGAACGTGTACTTATTTTGTGATACAATTTTATCTATCATATCATAATATTTTAATGCAGTTTAGAAAGTTATATATTTGTAAGGGATTGAAAAAACACTCAAACCATATAATATATAATAAAATCATATTTTAAACAGACATCAACAACAACATTCATCAAAATCATTCGTCAACAATAAACAATAACCAACAAACACGATACAACAAACATATCAAGGCATAAAATGCTTCAGAAACATACCATACATGTCAAGTCCCATAATGGCGTGTCAACAATGAAATAAGGATGAAGAAAATTTTAGACCAACAAACTTGTGTATATTTTGAATGGATTCCATTTTGGATCTTTGGCACAAGTTTGACAAGCTAAATTTATAATCGTCCTCTTTATTGCAATAAACATTCATACCTATAAGAGGAAAAAAAAAGAAGAAAGTTCAAACATCATGAAAAAAGATATTGCAATAGATTTTGAAAAAAAAACTACAGAGAAAACGAACCTGTAAATACCCATTGGCTAAGACTTGTTGTTATGGTTTTGTTTTGTGGTATCCATATGAGAGAGATGAGTGGCAGAGTTGTTAGGGTTTCGCTTTGAGAGACGAATGAAAGAGTTGTTTGGATTTTGTTTTGAGAAAGGCGGCTCTTATGTATTGAGCGATAGATAATTTCGCTTATATATAAATAAATATCATGTTTCATCACGGTTCGAAATAAAAACCATGGTGATATAAATGGTCAATAACATTTTTTATCATGAGAAATGGCTAATTATTGGTGATGTGATTCAAACCATTTTACTCCGTGTACTTTTCACAACGGTTGCTACTTCTGACCGTTGAGGCATGTCATCTAGTAAACAAAAAAATTTGCACCCAGGATAAATATATTACCACAGTTAACATTATGTTCGTTGTAATATTGGTGTTATGAAAGGCTTGTTTTGTAGTAGTGTTAGGAAACAATAAAGTTCGGTGGCGACTCTTACTTTTCTAAGTTAAGTTAATTAATAGCTTAATCTCAATAATTTTTCCGACCACGACACACAGAAGGTAGTCATTCGCACGCAGAAGCTTCTTTGTTTGCTAACGAGATCAATAGTTCATTTGCGCTATCTTTTTGAGAAAAATCACAATAATAATTTCATAGAATCTTGCGTATGTGATATGGGAGCAACAAGACTCAATCCTCTTCATATGGCTCTTCACAACATTATCACATTCGTTGTTTCCCTCGTGTGATATGGTGTATTTATTCACATCAAATTTGGGACGAAATTCATAAGTATATCTTTGTGCCAATAATGATAAGTCGCACCAATAAGAATCTGAACTGAAATTAATTACGAAGGGTGAAAAAATTATAATTGAATGTCTTGCTTGAGTTTAATGAATTATTGAAATTCTTGATTTGATTAATGATCCAATTTTACATCACAATCAATTGGAAGAAATTTTTGATGGATTTTCTAATGATTATGATGCCCTAGCCTCTATAATTCAATATTGTGTCACTCTATGTCTAATAATTGAATTTTGAATCTATGCTTCTCTCACATGAAACCAAATTAGAGAAAGCAAAGAAAATGATGCTCAAGGAACCTCTCTTTATTAATGTCACTGACACGACTTTTTTACAGCAGTATCCTAGTTTGAAACCCTTAATACCAAACTACCCTAGTCTGAAAATAATTTACGAGGGTCTCCTAATTTCAGAACTTACTCATCCACTCAAGTGGCGAGCTGAGTCATGGTTTTAGGCAGTGTAGGTGCTCGCCCACTCAAGTGGCGAGCACATGAAGAACTTATTTTTTTTCATATTTATGTTATATAATTAATCACATATTTAATAATTTTAATATAAAAATCATATTGTAAAATATATTATACTAATTTAATAATAAAATATTAATTAAAAATATATTATAATAATAAAATATTTTATACTTTATTAATCTAATAATTAAATACTAATTAAAAATACATTATAAGAATAAAATATTTTATGTTGTATTAATATAATAATTAAATATCAATTAAAAATATACCATATAATAATATATAAAAAAAATTGTTGTATTAATTAAATACAACAATAAAATATATTAAACAGAAATACATGTTACATATAAATTTGA